GAACTTGAAATTTTTCATGTTCTACATTTGAAACTCTTAATCATCAAAATTGACAATTTTTAATTTTCGAAATTTGAAATTCTCAGTTTCTCAAATTTGGAACTCTTACCTTTCGAAATTTACAATTTGGGTCATCTACCTTTAAAAATTGAAACTCTAAATTTCTTGAAACTTCCAATTTCCATTTACCAAAATTTGACATTTAAATTTCCTAGTTTTTCCATTTCCCCAAATTTCCAAAAAACCATATCTCCAAACGACAACTCAAAGAAACACAATTCCACATCCTAACTCAATTATTATACACCTACACTTTTTCCCCCCAAAAAAAAAAAAAAAAAAGGAATCAAATGAAACAAAAATCAAAGAAAAAAATATACAAATTCCTCAGGAAGGGCGATGATCAACCCAGAACCCCCACCGTTGCTCCCAGACTCATGTTGTAAACAAAATCGAGGGTTGGGGGTGAGGAAGAGGGCGAGTGGAGGGGGCAGGGACAACGGAGGTGGTGCGAGAGTGCTAGGTGTCGGTGGTACTCGTCAGTAGCACGACGGTCACAGATCCTTTCGGACCAACACCGATTCCTCGACGTTCCATCCTCGCAGCGATGAATTCTCAACGAACCATCGTCAATTCTTACATCGGTCTGAACCAATAAACACCCCATTATCCACTCGGTCACACAATTAGAACAGAACAGAAAATTTGCAAAAGTGTGAAAAAAGGCTGAGGAAAGAGGGTGACAGAATATATTTCTTCAAGTGGTAGTTCATTCGAGATAGACCGAAAGAAGATCGACAATTTTCGTCGATAATATTAACAAATAATTGGAGAGAGGAGAAGAAGAAAAAAAAAAGGGTGCGAATAAGGAGAAGAATTTTTTTGGGTGATTGTGGAGAATCGATCGATGGTCGATTGGCTGCGGCGGATCGAGAGCAGCCGCGATGTCAACGTTACACCGGTCGTTGACACAGTTCCACGCTTGAAATTCGGACCAGTGTCCAGTTGCTCCAGGGATTCGAGACGGTGCAGGGGTTGTGTGTGCATGAGAGAGAGAAAGAGAGAGGATGAAGACTGAAGGTAACAACGGATATCTGAGGGCGAACGTGATCGGCGAGAACGAGATATCACTAGGTTCCGATCAGGACCCACCTGCGACCAGTCCTCTTCAGGTGAGAAATTATTCTCTCATTTCGGGTGGAGATTTTACTTTCTTTCTAATGATTTAATCATAGCACTGCGGATGGAAGTTTTATGATCCTTCAAGTTGGTTGTTTGAAAATTATCGTGTCATTTGGGGTGGAAAATTTGTAATTCTTGGAGTTGGTGATTCGAAGATTATTCTACGATTTTGTGTAGAGATTTTTTTACTAGTTTTAGGATAGCAATAGACAGACAATTCTTTAATTTCTAACGTAGGGGATTGAAAAATTATCGTGTCATTTTTCGTGGAGAATTATTTTTGTTTTCGGGGTTGGAAAGAGGCGTGGAAGTTTTTAAATTCTTAAAACAGGTGTTTGAAAGATTGTTGCACGATTTGGGACGATATATGCGGCAGTTTTTTAATGTCTAGATTGCCTCCTATTTTTCAAATAATCGTTTTTTAATTTGTCAGGCATCTTAAATTATAATTGCAAAATTTTTTAATTATATTTGAAGAAATTTTGTTTAATTGAGAAAAAAGACAATGTTGATTGGCATAATTGAGGCTGCGCTGAATTTTGGGGATAATCGTCAGTTACTTACATATAGAAGACGTTAAGGTCTTGGATATAACGTGAATGGAACAATAAATGATAATATATTAATTGGGGAGGTGTTTTGTGAGGCGAAATTGACAAGGTTCCTTGGGATTGTCAGTCGTTTATGAAAGCGTGGGAAAGGGAGCATTAAGTCACGATTTTCAATGGAATCTTATTAGAAGGGTTATCCTTCAATACTCGGTACAATTCAGTCCATGTCTATATCAATTGTTCAATCACACAATTTTACGTATACACTATGCAAATTAGACAAATTATGGACGTAGAAAAAGATCGTATTAATAAAGAAATGGAAAATTTAATTTTCAGTGCAAATTTGTTATGAAGTAAAGATCAGCTATTTTTGCATTTAAATAATATTTTTTGTTTCCTAAAAATACACTCTATGTTGAAATAAAAAGAGACACTGTGAAAATTGAGTGAAAAAATTCTTTACATGCCTTTATTTTTATTTCTCAAAAAATCATAAACTGAGAAAAATTATTCCATTACAATTAAGAAAAGAAAGAAACTTATTTTAAATTAGACAATCACTTAAAAATAGCAATATAAAATATAGCGTATATATGCCTACTTTTACGTTTCAAAAAGTATTCCTCAATTAAAAAGTACATCTAACCAGAGTTTGATGCAGAATGCAAATTAGCAATTTTTTCATCCACAGAAAATCATTTTTTCTCTGAAAAAACGTTCCATTACCACCAATAAAAAAGTCGAAATTAAGAGCAACATTCATGAAACGTTCAAAGGATTTTCTCTCTCGTAACAGGTCACTTATGGTCCCTCTGGAAACATATCTACCACGGTTCTCCATTGTCACTAATAAAAAAGTCAAAATTAAAAAATACGTTCCTCTATCAAACGAGAATTTAATTCTCCATGCTAAATTACGGAAAAAAAAAAATAGAGAATTTCACAAGGCCTTCAAAGTTTCTTTCTCTCATGTTAGATGACTAAAGTATACATATACCGTCATTATTATTTCTCAAAAATTATGAATAAGACTTCAATCCTCCACACTAAATTACCAAAAAAAAAAAAAAATTGAGAATTTCACAAGGTTTCCATCTCTCAGAGCAGATGACTAAAGTATACATATACCTCATTATTGTTTCTCAAAAATTATGAATAAGTCTCCAATTCTCGACACTAAATTACAAAAAAAAGAATTGAAAATTTCACAAGGCTTCCACCTCTCAGGTCAGATGGCTAAAGTATACATATACCTCATTATTGTTTCTCAAAAATTATGAATATGTCTCCCTATTCTCCACACTAAATTCCCCCCCTCAAAAAATTGAGCAAATCAGTTGATTTAAGTACATATACGTATACCTCCATTATGATTTCTCAAAAATTACCGTTGACAAAATGGTCGAAATAAAAAACTACATTTAAGACTTCAACTCTTTGACTGCTGGCAACTCGAAGGTAAACCACTTGCTGTGTACGCCTGAGTTATAGCATTAACAATTACATTACATATTACGTTAGCCAAATCACTTTTTGCAAATCACTTGTACTTCATATTTGTGAAAAAAGCGACGTGCAAATATAAAATATAGAATATAAATATGAAGAGTATACAGCGTATTATAGGCGCCGGTAGCAATCAAAGGGTTAACTCTCCACACTATTATAAATAACCAAAAAAAAAGACAACAAAGATAAATAAAATAAAAAATTTCATAATATGGTCAAAGCTTTCTCTCTCTCTCCCTCTCTCTCTCTCTCTCTCTTTCTCTCTCTCTCTCTCTCTCTCTGACAATAGGTGACCTATGGCCCCTGTGGAAGCACGACGACCACGGTTCTCCAGCATCCCGGAAACAACCGGAGACCTCTAGGAAGAATGATGCGGGAGACGTCGATCACACGCATACAAAGAGGCCCGGCAAACAGGCAACTATTACTCGGCGTGCTCGCCCTCACTCTCCTTGCCACTTGCCTCTTCATTCTGCTGTTACTGGCGTTGAACACGAGCCGCGAATACGTGCAGGAGACCTGTAAGTGGAATTAACCCTAAATGATACGGTTAGCTCTGGATGGATCCGGTTAATTAAACGATCGAGCGTGCACGCGCGGATTTATGCGTGTAGTATGTCGTTGTCGTGTGGATAGGTGTCGAGGAATTGTAATATAGGAGCATTCAGTCGTAGATACGAATGATTGATGCAGAATTACAGTGGAATTACGCTCTGATCAAATCTGCCTTTGAAGATTTTCATGCATAGTATGGTTGTGTGGAGGTTTTGATAGGGAAGGAACGTTACTTTTCAGGATTAATTGGACGTTAAGATGCAGGAAAGATGGAAAAATCGGAGTTTTATCGTACTCTATTAACGCTCACATTTCTCTCAACTTCACGTGCCGTAAATGATTAACACGTTGACTACCAAGCCTATATTGAAGAAATCTGTTCTAGACGCCAACATTTCTTCTTCAATTTATTGTATAGAATTAAACAAGCACACATTAATTTTTACATTATGACTTTAATTTTAATTGTTTTTTTTTTTCCAAAAAAATGCTTTCGAATTATCTCGTGGTCGGGTGTCTCCGAATAGGATGTAACTTGTACCAGCAAACTGCCAACTACGGGTTATCTTCGTAGCTTGGCAGTCAACGTGTTAAAAAGTAACGTAATTTCGATGACTTTCATATTTTCGACGGTTTTTTTATTTGCGAGTTCGGTATTAGGTTAGTTTTTTTTTTATAAGCATATTTGCGAGGTTTTATCGACGTAAGATTCAATTATCGATCACTTTATCAACCGATTATTTCGTATCAACCAAGATTTAACTCAACTTCACGTGCCGTAAATGATTAACACGTTGACTACCAAGCCTATATTGAAGAAATCTGTCCTAGACGCCAACATTTCTTCTTCAATTTATTGTATAGAATTAAACAAGCACACATTAATTTTTACATTATGACTTTAATTTTTATTGTTTTTTTCCAAAAAATTGCTTTCGAATTATCTCGTGGTCGGGTGTCTCCGAATAGGATGTAACTTGTACCAGCAAACTGCCAACTACGAGTTATCTTCGTAGCTTGGCAGTCAACGTGTTAATTTCCTTTCTCTGTATTAACTGTTTCCTAAGTGTATAGAAATACGTTCCCCGTTATTTGTAACTCACGTTTTCGCCGTAATAGAAAGGATAACGCGATACGGAAAATGAAAGAAAATAATTAAACAAAATTGCACTTGTTGGATGATTAGTTGTAAAAGTGTGAGATACGAGTTAACGTTGAATATAAAGCTTGTTGTTGGGGTATATGAAGACTTAATAGTGAAATAAAATTGGAAGGATTAATTTTGAATTTTGCATTATGATAGAATATTAGTGTCGTAGAAAATTTGGATATTAAGTTGAGTACTTAATTTTTAGTAGCAGGATTGAGTGAAGTGTTGCAGAAAAATTGAAACACCAAACTAGCTATTTAATGCTGAAAAAAAATTAGCCAACTGGCGAATATTGAGACAGAATATTTGATAGTCAGAAATTTCACGTTTCAGTGATGTACAAATATATTCTGTAAAAATTTTAACATTAAATTAAGCGTTCATAGCAGAGGTAACGTTGAGCCTCCACTTTATGGATCTTATTTTAATTTTAAAGTAGGTATTGAGAATAATAGAACAAGGTTGTGCTTCGGAATATATGTATATTAGAATATCCTGCAAAAATTGGAATACTAAATTAACCACCACAATTGCACTGCTGTACAATTATTCTACTATATAATCACTGTTACGATCCAAGGCTAAATATCAGAGAAATCTCACCTAAAATATGAATCTTTTCACTTCTAAAATTATCTTAAATTCCGTTAAATTCCACAATTTCTTTTGCAAAAGGAAAAATTTCTAAAAAGAATTCGAAATAATCGATTCTCGCACGAAGGGGAATTTTATTAATCGAGTTAACACACGCGAGCAGTATGAATCTCCTACCTCCCTCTTTAAAGGGGTTGCTCTGTCTAAAGACTCGAGAAACAGACACTTTTAGAGTCATTTGGTGAAACCAATAAGAGATAGTTGAATAGCAGTTTCTGGGATGAAAAAATCATTTTGTCAATGGAAAAAAGCGTCGATTCATGAACACAAATCCATTCGAACCTTTGAAAAGCGTTGTAAACTAAATAAATGGACAGGTTTTAATAATTTTCGAAGTGACTTTGTTTAATAGAAAAATAATCGTATTTTTGACGAAAATCGGACATTTTTCAGAACGCCAAAAAAAAAAAATAAAAGTAACGAAGCTATAATTATTATTTTAGTTCATGCTATAGAGACACTTCTTCTAAAGGTGTATACAAAATTTCAGGCAAATCAGTTGATAACTTTTCGAGTTATCCAGAACGTAAGGTCGAAAAGTGTCGTTTTTAGAAAAACGAGTTGCTCTTCATACCTGCATAACTTTCGCAATTTAACGAATTGCGTGAAAATATTTGACGCGCTTATTATAGACACTTGGAGCCATCGAATCGCGGAGAAAACGAACTTTTCGATCTTCTCGAGTCGTCGGATTAAGCAACTCTCTTAGACAAGTGTAAAAAAATCGACGCGTCGAGCATAACGGAAGAAAATGTCGGAAAGTTTTGTTGAAAAGTTTGTCCCGGTTTCGCGTGAATCCCGCTGCAATCTTGCCTCCAGCGGGAAACTTCCTCAAGATGAGTTTAATCACAACTTCACTCTGCTCTAGAATTGCGCGTCCTCGTATGAAATTACTCGAAAAGAATTACACTTGTTCTGTGAAAGTAATTCTCCCCATGCTCGTTACGAAACTTTTTCTCCCGAGTAACGAAGAAGCAATACTCTTCGAAAATATTCACCTTGTGTTTGAAATGCCCCTTTTCTTCAAATTGGTAAAATTCCATTTCAGATTTCATTCTAAGGAAATTTTACTTTTTTCTTCTTGGTCGATAAATGCCCAGCTTAAATTTTTTTAATTCGTTAATTAACTTAATTAATGGCACCAGAGTTGGTTTTTTTTTGACAACTGAATAATTCTTCAATTTTTACCATATTTTATAATCTACTGTACCACAGTGCAGAATTGAATGTATTTAAAATTGCAATTGCAAGATTTTTTAATTACATTTAACGTAATTTCTGTAAAATTCAAGAAATTTCGCATCAGAGGGGATTTTTTTACTTAAAATTACAATTGCAAGATTTTTTAATTATATTTAACGTAATTTCTGTAAAATTCAAGAAATTTCACATCAGAGGGGATTTTTGTTCTTTTCCCATCGATAAATACTGTTTAATATTTGCCAGAGGCACGAATCAGAATTTTCCTTTATTTCATTTTATTTCTTCTCGTCGATAAATGCTCTTTAATATTTGCCAGAGATATTAATCGGAAATGTCGATTACACGGGAGGGGGAGAATTGCAAAGAGAAACAACAGACGGCTTGCAATGTTCAACATTGTGCCAGAAACGAACATCGATCAGCCGAATCGTATCGAGTCGAGGC